TTTTTTTTTTTTTTTTTTTTTTTTTAATTAAAAAAATGCAGAATGAAAACTTATTTCCAGCTCAGCTCTCACTGCAACTATGAGGAACAGAACGCTATTAGTGCTGTTCACCATGCTGCAAGCAGGCTGGCAAGCAATTACTACAGGACTTTCACTTTAAAATGGCAAAGACTCCAGTTGCAAGGGAGATTGCCTTGTGGGACCAATGAAATCCTGTGTATTGGAAGTGGGGCCATACACAAACTAGCTCTCAGCCTCCTGCATTCCAGTAACTTTCCTCCACAAAGAGATGTATGCTTAGCCCAGAGGACAGATGAAAGCACATTTCTAGATATTTCGGGGACTGCATGCAAAAAATGAGAGGTTTTGCTACCAGTATCTTTTTCAGGGCAGACTGAGAAATAGTGTTTCCTTACCAAGAAAGGCACATAGAGCCAGCTTTATTCTGCCTGATCAGCAAATCCCAACAAGTCCCTAGAATTTCCCAGCTAATGTCCACCTCAAGGGTACTTGAGTATGTGGGTATACAAGACTGCATCTGTTTGCATGTCTGTGTTTGTTGTGCATCTGCACTCTGGTGGGAGAGGGGAGGTAAGCACAGTGCATGCATGTATCTCAGGGTTAATAAGCCCATGTGTGAATGTACCCACATCATTTCCACTGCAGCCATAGAGAATAGGGAGGGGAAGTAATCCAGTTCCTTGAGGTGGAGTCAGGAGTCTGCATAGTCTATTCAAGTGACAGAGCTGGGGGTTCCCTTTCTGAAAGAAGCCTAACACCAAGAAACTTCTGCCTTCAGGTTGTAACAAATGCTATAGGTTAAATAAAAGCCAGGGCCCCACCTAGTCTTGTTTTACCTTCTGCTCTCTATACTCAAGAACTTCATTAACTGTCCTCTTATTCTGACCTAACTTAACCTAAAGTGCACAGGGCTGGCAAACCCACCCAGACACAGCTGGCAGCAAAAGGTGGAGACAAACTGGGGTAATCCAAGCAGCATGAAGGAGCAGGACCTCAGGGGGATTTGCAAACAGGAGAAGGCCTA